TTGGCATTTTGTTGGCCATGTTCAAGCTGCACAGTTGATTCAATTCGATTTTGCTTCCGCTGTTCCTTCTTCCGTTTCGGGTCTACGCTGGAAGAATGTTGTGTGTCAGTTTGTCAAAAGATAATGGCCACAGGGTGAGCATGACGCATGTAGTCACTATGAGAGCCATGTGTGGTTGAGGTACTCTTTCCACATGATGTTCTTGAATCTTTAGTCTATCTATGCATGTGCACGAGAAGTCTACAGAGTCAAAGTATACATTGTACTGTACATGCCCTCCCTGGGTCCCTGAAATGTCTTCACCAAAGCCAATTTCGGCAATGATTCCTGAACGATCTTGGGCTTCTTCTGTTGGACCAATGATCAACTGTGGTGACCGAGGGTTTCCCAGGTGAGTGAGTTCTTATACGTATATCTATATAAAGCTTAAAACTGAAGTGGAGATCCTCAATCCAGAGATGTTCTCTTTGTATCCATTTGCCACTTGTTGTTTGGGTCCTTCCTTCTTGCGCCATAGCAAACATATTCCTTGACCCATCGAACCCAGATTTCTTTTCAAGAGGATTGAACTCCAGACATTTGAACAGATCAAACCCAGAAATGTTTGAACTTCAGGAGGATTCAACTTCAAACCCTCCAAGGCTCCGAGCCGAGTAGAGCCTCGGAGCCCCGAAGCACGGCGCCGCGAGGATGCCGGGTGGAGGTGTTGAAGATGGCCGTGCCTGGCGCGTTGGAGCTTGTCTCTGGCGCTCGGATCACCCTTAGCTCGCAGCTGAGGGGTGGGAAGGTGGGTGGGATGGGAGGGGAGGCGGTGGGTTTTGGATGGCACAAGACTGAGTGGGATTGAGTGGGATGGTTTTTTGCATGGAGTGATATCACGTGACAACAAGGCCAGAGCCTTTGTGGTGCTTTTTGTCAAAGATGCTGACTCATCCAGACTGGTGTTTGTATCAGTCAAACCGACTAAAGCCGGTCAAGGGCTTTCAGCCTTAGTGATATATTGGATCGCCAAGCATCGTTGGCATTGCCTCTGATGTATTTTGGTTGGGGGTTGGTACTCAATCCTTGGCTCAAGAAAACTGGAGGAGTGCAAGTCTCAGAATCCAGCTCCCTCCGGCCAAGGACATCACAAGCCTGATGCAATCATTGCCTTGACCTGAGGGAACCAGAGCTTGGGCATGTCGAGAGCACTGTTTCGGTGGTGTTGCTGATGGTTGCTGTACAGCAACATATTATAGCAACTCTATATTCACGAGGGCTCCAAGTACTTTCTAATAAGGTGTTTGGGGTGGGTTTAGAGGCTCCAGTCATACCTTCTGAGGAGGTACGACTGGAGCCCTAGGGATTATGAACTAGTTGATGTTCGACCTTTACTTTTCAAGTGAAGCCACTTACATAACCCGTTGAATCCGAAATGGATCCGACCAGGTATGCCGGAGTGCCACATGTGGCCGGAAGATACTTACACTCCCTGAAATAGTCTATGAAAGTGGATGGCAGCACCTGTCTGGTATGATGATTTCAATGGATTTCATGATCATCTGAGAAATCTCCGGGCCACCCGTCCTCCACGTTGGCTCATGATGAAGACTCCGGGAGTGGAAACTTCTAAACCGGGGCCCCAGAGCACCGAACCCTTTCACGGAAGTCGTTGTTTTTGAAGCCCACACGGTGAGTCACAAGATGAAGGTTCTCATGGTGGGTCTTGGAGCCTTGGTGGGGTAGATGTAAACCTGACAACTTGACCCAGGTCAGATGGCACCCGGGTCGTCCGACGGTTTTTCCTCCTCCTTCGCTGCACCTGGCAAAAGTGTGCTTTCCATGTTTTTCATGGATCGTTGTCACCCGTCTTTGGTTGCCAGGCAATTTCACTGAAACGAACGGAGAACACCGGGCTTTTCGTGGCTTGCGCACGGTCGACCAAGCTCACGCCGCACGAAGTCCAGCGAGCGAAAGGTCCAGACTGAGCGAAATGTCCAGCGGAGTCCAGTGAACCACATCCACCTCGTTGAAAACGATGAGATCCTAGCACTTCCAATGGGTGCCCTGGGAGACCTGTTTACGTACAAGTAGGGTAGTCTAGCCAGGACACTCATTGGATGATCCTGGTATGAGATCCTCGGTTTGGGGTCCGGTTTTTGGTGGAAGAAGGACTTAGCCAAATCAATCCCAAGACTTTCTTTTTCATCTCTGTGTCAAAGGATTTGTTCTTTGTAAACTCCCAACCACCCATCCACCCAAAAGGGCCCTCCCTCCATGCCTGGGCTCCTTTCCTCCTACCACACCGGCACCGATCTTCTGTGCATCCGAAGAACATCCTAGGGACGATGAAAAAGGGATCCCGGCCTCCTTCCGTCTCACTACGCCTCCGCCGGCCGGCCCCCGCCACCCGGTCGAACGTGACTATACGCGACCTAGGCCTGACCGCAACATCGGGTCATCGGCTTCGGTTGGTCGCTGCAGGTCATCGGCGTGTTGATTAAAGGCTCCAGCGACCTGTACGATCGATCCTGTAACGCTGCCGGGGGCCACCAGCGGCGGCGGAGCGGAGGGCAGAGCACATCGGCGCGCACCTTTTACGGGGATCCCGGCACGCGAGGTCGTGGGTGCATCCGCAGGTGCGAAAGTGGACCAGGGAAAGAGCCAGGTCGCTTGAAAAGGTTTGAAGCATCTGAAGGAACATCAATGAGCATGATATGTGGGCCCCACAGGAAGAATATATATATAACTAATTAGATATTTATAATGCAGTTTAACTGTTTGAAAGACAGAGAAGGAGAACAGAAGAAGGGGTATATAGCCGGAGTAGGTGGAGTTTCTTGCCATGTGCTTGGCTGTCCCATGGCTGATGGACAGGTTGTCCGTCAGCATGACTGAAGTGCCTATAAGAAGCTAGCTCTAGGGGTAGCAGATCCACAAAGATCCACAATTATGTCATCATGGCAGTTATACCAATGTTATATGTTTAAACCATATATTCTACTGTGTTGTTCAGAGATGTTTATGATGATTGGTCCATCAACTTGTACGTAACTTAAATCAACCTGGGGGACACTGCATCCAGGGGCATCAGGTCAATGGACCATTGTGTTAGGTTTGGTTTGGCGAAAAAGAAGCGTTACATCATCCTTTAAGCAACGTCAGGTACGGGGGAGTGCTCCAGTGCTCCTTCTAAAGAACATACTACAAACAACAGGAGTGCGAGGTGAAGAGTACGCGAGTACACTGAAGTGAAGAGTGCAACTGCACGATGTGCAACCAGATGGGCAACCAAGGGAGATGTGCTTCAGATGGCGCAATTCTCAATTGCATGTTAAGGTCATGACAGGGCTTACCGAGCTGAATGCCATCCAGGATACGCAGGAGCCCTGGAGCTGGTGAAGTAGTCTACTGCAAGCGGAAGCGGCTTGTGCTGCTGGAGAAATTGAACTTGGAGGAAGTCCTTCACTAGCTGAGAACCACAAGAGTCCTATCCTTTTTTCTTTTTAGTCCATTGGAGATCAGGAACAGTTCTCTAGAATGAAGCTAAGTCTATGTCCTTTTTGCATTGAAGAACGATCGTTCAGGGACTGGTATGTTTGTTTGCATGTTGTCAACGTCAAACAGAATCCAACACAGAGAGCCCAGCACTTCTTTCAATTTGGTCCATCACTCGGAAGAGAGTTCATGGAACTGCAACTCAAGATTGATAAGATGGGTTAAATTAGGTTAAGGTGGTTCCAGTTCAACGACTTTGTTGCTGTTACGGAGCTTGGTCTATGGAAGAACAGGAGTGCTTCAGACCAATTAGATTAGAACTCCGCCTCAACACTCTCTTGGCTCAATTCTCAAGTTTGGTGACTTACATAAGGCTTCGCCAAAGATGGTCTTTGGCATTGCTTCGCCAGGAGTTCTGGGGGTGTTGTATTTCTGCCGTATCCTGCTCCGTTTTGGTACGACCAACTCAAGCCTTGCAGCCCATTCTTAGGAGTTAGGCAGGGAACATGGCAAACCCTCCATGGCATGCAGAAGAGAAGAAGTATAGGTGTATTGATTTGTTTTTTCTCGAGATCAATGCTTCCTTGTTGTTTGAGCTCCAGCAATGTACATTTGAGTTTTATGGTTGGTACTCCACCCGGACAAGGCATGGCAGTGATGTTTGTAGTTGGGGATGCAGGGAAAGACAAATAGATCAAAACAGGAGACAGACATTCTGAACTTCCAAAGGATCTATCCCTGTAGAGCACAAAATCCATAAGCAACCCATCAATTCTCTTTGGATCCACAAATCCACTTTGACAGTTTTGCATTCGGCGTTGTACCGTACCAAAGCTGAGAAGGTGGTAAACAAAAGTGGATGTTTCATGAACTTTGACGTCGAGACAATGTTCATCCAGTCTTCTTCAGTCCGATCCCAAATAAGGAAGGAACAACAACAAGTTCGTCGGAATGCCGGCGAACTCAGCTCGTTCACCGATGCCCAAGGCCCATCATCTTGGGCTTGCTCATGTGCCAGAACGAGGACCGGGCGTCACCTTCGTCCGGTGCCACGACCGACGAAGCACGCGGTGCTTTCGGCAGTCACGGCGGACGAGGTATCTCAGTCATGGCGGACGAGGTATCACGCGCTCGAGATTCATCATCCAAGCTTCACAGCGTCACAGTATCTCACAGTAATCCTGATTCTGGCGTTGGAAGATGAAGGCCTTGATTATCCTTGATTGATGTTCATTGAAATAAATCTATTGATTTCGTGTTGGAAGATGAAAGACCAATCATTTCATAGATGGTTGGCAGACACCCTTAAGATTCTCAGATCGATCCGCTTGAACCCACTGAGTCCAACTTGGAAGCCTAGGTTTGCCTTGTGAAACCTAGGTTTTGAGGTACTCGGTCTGGTTTCATTGGGTGATTCCCCTTTCTTGACATAATTTGATATGCCTTCAATTTGTTTATAAGGTCAATGACACCAATTTGGAAGTGACGTAAGCATTTTGGGTTTTGCCAATTGAAAAGGCCACCGGACTTGTGTTCTCTCCGCAGACCTATTTCGGCCATGGAGAGTCCTCTTTGCATCTCGCCATGTCTACGGGCCACTGCGGCCACTGCAGGTGAGGCCAGCCGTTGGCCGCGCAGCCTCGTGCTACCTTTCGGAGACTTTGAAGTCATGTCTAAAGCGGGTTCTACGTCTTCGGATGACGTGCGTTCGGGTCGAACCTCGTCGCGTAAAGACCTGACTCGACATCCAGACCGACCGAGTTCGTTTGGGTCAATCAAGGGATTTACACTCGGGTTCCACCGACCCCACGTCGAAGCGGGCTTGGCATTTTCACCAGACTGGACGAAGAATACTCCGAATACCAACCTGAGGTGGGGCACTTCATTGTCCATGTGAATCTTCCATGTTCACCATTTTGAGGGCTCCAGCTGTACCTCCTCAGGTTCGGTATGACTAGACCCTCCTGGCACCTGGGCACCCAGGGCTGGTGCCGAAGCTGCGCCGGCCACCTGCACCGCCGCCGCGATGGCGACGAAGCAGACGAAGGGCAAGTGGGGAGCAAAGAGGCTCGAGGAAGGGGAGGAGATTGAGTTGGACCTTTAGGATATTTGTTTGGGAGGTTTGTAAGAAAATGTATTGATTAGAATAAAGGTTTAACATTGTTTAGCAATTTAGCAATGATACATATAGCATTATATAGCAAATTATAGCAAGATATCTGGATGAGGCATCACTTTGACATCACCTCGACCCCATTGATGACCTGGGCACTCCGCCCACATGGCGTCCGTACTCGTGGAAAAAAACATCACCTCGACCCCACCCGCGTCCCGTTTTTTTCGATGATGTCCAAATCTTTCTTTTGGGGGCCCTTCCCTCCAAGCTGCGGAACTTGCATCAACTTAGCTGCAGCTTGTCGGACCCAGATTCTCAGCAAGCCTTACACTCCCGGAAACTAACATAGACCCTGGCAATGGCCCCCTGGAAGAGTGTTTTCCTCTACCAACCAGTGGTTTTCAGGGTCCATGTTAGTCTTCCAGGGTGTACTATCCCAGATGTTTGTTGCGGACCCGGAAGAAACAGAGGTCACCTGCCGATTGAGGCCTTCTCCACAAGCTGGCCTGTCGATTGAGTGCAACGCCAGACCATGTAGTAACATGTAGCAAACGGTTTTGCAGGTCGGGGGAAGGTGTCCAGTGATGCAGTAACGCACCCATCAACCCAACCTGAGTTGTGTTTGTTCACAGGTGACCAGTGGGCACCCCTGGTGGGCTGGTCCAACTTGTTGACTGTGCTGGTGATCCTCACCATGAGCTTGCTCCAGGTGCAACGGGAGGCAATGAATTGTGTGGTGTGTTTACTGGATCCTTGGTTTTGCTTTAAAGATGTGTTTGTCAAGTGAATTTGGAGTTCCCAAGTCACGAACCTGAGTTCTCCTTGTTACTGTATATTGTTGGAGACTGGTTGAAGATGTTGTTGAAAACTGCAATAAAGAGGTTCAATGGGTTAAAAAGGATTTGACCAGCGGGTCATTTTCAAGTAGATCGTGGAATGGTCCAAAAAGTATGACCATGATGCAGATCCCATGTCGCATGATTTTGGATAGCCCAACAATCCACCTAACCACTTGGGATCACTTGAGCAACACCAATCATCATCAAATAGCACATATTGAGGGTGAAGCCATGATTTTTTGACCCTGAATGTACCTTAGTTGAAGTGAAATGCCGGAATGCCTCCTTCCTTCCTAAAATCACTGAAGGGACCATCACAATCACATGTTTTCTGGAAGCGACTGCTGGAACCGGGGTGGGTGCCTTTTGAGGCACTGGAATCCTGGAATCTTTTGGATAGCGCTGAATGGGTCAGTTTGATGTCTTGGGTCTGTCCTATTACCTGCAACAGTCAGTATATTAGCAATTCACTATTTTTGAACAAGGCCTGCAACCTAACCATCATCATCCACTGTTATATATTGGCAATAGGATAGACCCAATTGATATCCAAAGAGAGGCTCAAACAATTCACGGAATGCTACACATCATCCTCGTGAAAGCGGACAACTTCATTTGTATCACTGATACTTAGCGCAGTTGTGAAATACTCTTTGTACATCCGTGTACATTCCTATTAGGTGGATTGTGGGCACTCCCTGAGGGTGGTAATGTCCGGATTTGCTCCATCCATAGCGTCATCCCAAGCATGGCAAGCCGGATGCATCCCCCCCACTCTCGGGATCGACATGGGTGAAACGTGCGGTGTTTTCAAAAGCACCGAGTCTCTGCGAGTCACTTGGCAGGTGCTGAAACGGGAGGTGGCACCACTCTGCCGCTCGGAATCCGTATAGGCTCTCCATGGCACGGGGTCGGACCTTCTCCACCGAAACGCAGGGGGGTAGGGGCCGAACCAAACCCTATCGGTTGGTTCGGGCCCGGATTTGGGTATCAACACGTGTCAACTCTCCCAGACACGACCTGTCTGGTGTGGTTGATATCAGGGGTCTAAGTCGGGCAGAGATGACCAGACTTGTCAGTTTGGGTATGGTGAATCGTGAAAAGGCTGTGGGGTCAAAACCAGTTGATTTGAGTTGATACACCCAAATGAACAGAATAGTTACTAGCCAGGTCCTCTTCCGTTTTGGGTGGTGAAACCCAGGGTTTTGACCCACATGCCAAAACGGATTTGTCACTGCTTCCCTCGTTGATTTGGGAACATGTTGAACAATCGATTTGCTTTTCCATCAGCGGAGCCGGAGATTGGTAGACTCCCCGCCGTCGCATGGTTTGGGCCGGCCCGGCCGTCCTTTTCTGCATCTGACTCCCTTCTGCGGGCTGGACAAGTCCCATTGTCGTTAGTATGATCCCTGGGGCTCCAACTACCTCCTGAGAAGATGGTTGGGGTGGGTGCCAGGGGGTCTAACCACCTTTGGAGCCCTAGGGGATAGATACCTAAGCACTTCCTTACTGGGTGCCCTTGAGTAGGAGACCTGTTTACGTAGGGTAGGGTAGTCGAACGGCAGGACACCCAGACAGGATGACCCTGGTAGTAGTATGTGTTCGATGTGATTTTAACTACTGACAGAAAGGTTGGAAGCAAAACACCGTTTGAAACGGAGGAAATTGAAGCCTGGAAAACAGCCGGGCCATGTTCATGCCATTGTCCTTCCAAGCGATGATGAAAAGAGGACAATCTGCATGGGACAATCTGCATGATCTTAGGCCCAAATGAAGTGGATCCCACAACTGACTCCCTGCTTAATGAATCGGGACATATGAAATCCAGTTTGAATGCACGGTTTTTCAAGCACGAAGATGGACGTCCAGCCACAGGATGTGGGTTCAACCCCAAATAGATCCAAGTATATACGGTATATATATATAGCTTAAAGGCATTGTTATAGTTGAAAGACAGTGTGAAAGACCATTTTGGGTCATTGGGAGATGTTCACCAGGGTATGTGATCCACATGCACAGCATGTGTGCAAAATACCCATGAGATGCCCGCTCTCATGGGTACATGCTGGGTCAAGAGTCAAGACGTTGGCTGGAACACATTGTGTTTCTAAATGCAGACAAGACGGCATGAGGTTCAGGGTTTCAGGCCCCCAAACTTTTTTTGCTTGTTCCTCAACTCAATCACCTTTGCACCTTGTGATATTTGACTTGAGTTTTTTGGGGGATCAGACCTTGTGACCTGTATTCTTTGGGTCTGTCCGAAGAAAAATCATTGAACAAGGCCTGCAACCAGACCCCATCATCCACTGGGCCCAGGTAATAGGATATAGATCCTATGTATTCACCTTGTCACCTGTAGATCAGACCTGTGACTCACCGGGTCGGCGCTCACGCTCCTGGCGCTCCTCCGTTCTTGACCCGGCCGGACCATCGCTCCGGGTTCGTGGGTCGGACGGGACGTTGGTCGTTTTCGCTCCTTCCAAGGTTTGGAACGTTGGTCCCGGAAGAAGAAACACCACAGATCACACATCAACACCCTAAAGTAGTACAGCAAGCGCAGGGAAGTCAGTACTGAAGCCTGGACCTTGCAGCAAAAACGCGACGCGCGACCGTGACTGATGAGTTGTGCGAGCGTGATGCCCACTGAGTTGAGGTACCTTAGGCGTGATCTTGGCCAACTTCATCACCAAGGGCCTGAAGATCTTGGTGAAATGCCTCGACTCCACTGGCACGCTCTGGCGCCGTCCCAGCAACTCTCGTCGCTGCCTGAGGAGCTCGGAACGGGGGCGGAGCGGAGCTCCGGAGCGAGCTCCGAAGAGGTCTTTTGCTTCGCAAGTGTTTTTCTTCCGGGTGAGCTTAGTTGATCGATGTTGGTCAATATGTGACAGAGGATCTTGACATGAGAATGATCCCCGAGACTTTGCAACATGTGTGATGCAAAGCCAGCATCGAAAGGCAACCCCCACGTTGCGTAGCTAAACAGGATTCTATGTAAGTCCAGGTCGGCCATTCTCCAACAGGTGTTCATCATTTTCTCGAAGAAACCACGTATATTCCATCCCCAGCGTTCGTCAACAGCGTTGGACCACCAGTTTGCTGTAAAAAGTAACCCCGGCTAAAGATCTTGAAACAGAGCCTAGCATTGAGGGTATTCAACATGACATGTTCAACAACTACAGAAACCTCGACAATGTGCAATGCGTTATTAGCATACATTAGGATACCATCAACGACCTCCAATAGACAACCCTCCACTATTAAATAGCTTCAGCTTGACACTGCATTTAAACTGCTAGGTTCAGCTACACCCTGGAACATTTACATGGAACCTGAAAACCACGTCGGGTTGGAGAGGAACAGCCGTCTTCCAGTCAGGTCCATGTTCAGGTTCCACGTGGGTCTCTTCCCGGGTGTGACCGGCAGACCAGTGAGATTTCCAGAATTGCATCAGGGCCGAACGCCACAACAGGGCCAGGACCAAGAGAGCTCGTTCCAAAAGTTATAGGCTTGGTGAAGATCTCTTATGGAGAATGGACTCACAGCAGGGCCAGATTTGTTCTGTACTTGGAACTCTTGCTCCTTCTTTGAGTTCCATGTATCTTGTACAGAGTTTCTTCTCACCATCCTCTTCCCAACGCCCTGGCGGCTCAACAGCACGCGACCCCACTGATCTGAGGTCGTGCTCCAGAGGATCCCGGGTTTCCAAGCAGTCACACCTCCATCATGACCTTCATTTCAGTGGCTCGGCGTGTGCTCGCTTGTGCGCGGCAAAACCCAGGGATGAGAATGGCTTTGGGATGGAAAAACGGTATCTTGCCAGGAGGTGCAACAACAAGTTGTGCGACTCCTCCCCCACCAAAAGAACAACTGGGCTTTGGCATGGGGGTTCAACACACCTAAAAAGGACTTCAAGCCGAAATGTTGTCCTGGTAAATGTAGACTCTTGATTCATAAACCACCCCTGTTTGAATGCACGCACTTGCGGACTGTCGCGCGCCCACAACCCTCCCCTTCCCGGATTTTCCGGGGGGGGGAATGGCCCCTGTTTGAATTGGACATCCTTCTCATGTGGGGGGGATTGGGAGGGTAAATCAAATTCAAGATTCTACATGATTCACAAGTCGTTCGGCCTGGCTTTGGGACCGATCTGCAAAGTGATCGGTCCCATCCAGTGTCGTTCGGCCTTTTGTTCGCTGTTTGAAGTCAAGAATCTCGACTCAGCGCGCAGTCCATGTGATATATAGACCCCCAAATAGATATGTAGATGTTTGTAGATCCCACTAGAAATGCACACCGTTTCTAAATCTATTTGTTGCCCACGATATATTAATGATTGAGAATATGTTGGAACTATTATATATAGTTTGATACGTTGTTTAGACTTGATGAGGCTGTGCCTACAAAAGCCGGCGATGTGACAGACACACAAGCATCCCTCATTGTTCACTAGGATCTCAAAACATCATCATTTGTCTCAACCCATCCCGTCTCACCGTTCGTTTGGGATGACCAACGTTCGAGGCGCGAAGAGAGGCGCGACCAGATGTTCACATGGGGAAACCTTACACCGAAATCAGAGGATGAAGTAAGCCCCCTAAACATCGAAGATACGGTATATTACTATATATAGTTTACATGACATATATATAACATGTATATTATTTTATTACACACACATATATATATATATATATCCCTAGGGCTCCAGTCGTACCGAACCTGAGAAGGTGGGACTGGGGTGGGTGCCATGTTCGGGTCCAGTCATACCGAACCTGAGGAGGCACGACTGGAGCCCTAGGGTATATGTAACATGTATATTACAACATATATAATAAACCAATGGGTTGCATCAAAGCTCGTCCAAATCTGTTCGTTAAGCCCTCCGCCCTGGGATAGAAAAAATGAACTAACCCTCTTGGGCGAACAGTGAGTACAACGTCAATCACAGCTTCCCAGGAGTCACGTGGAGTTGGGGTGTGGCTTTGGTTCGTCCCCTTGGTTCGTCAGTGTCTATGGGTTGGATGTGATTCACCGGCCCGGCACTCCTATCCTCACCGGCCACCCCGGTGGCGACAAGATGACTTCTCTGGCCTGACTGAGGTGTATTTTGCTTTGTATCTCTGGCTACATTTGGGCTATCCCTTCTTTCGCGCCGCTCTGGTGGCAGTCCTTCCATCTGGCTTCATGGCAGCAGCACGGATCCGGGATCAGGATCACACGCTGCAGCAGACCATCGGAGGAGTTCTTTGGGGGACCTGTACAGCCGAATTGCTTCAGCATGCGGGTGTGTATCAAAGTAGGGAGACCTCTCGTGGAAGGAAGAAAAGCAAAGCCCAGCGGCCCGGCGGGTCTCCCTATTTCAATACGCACTCATGTGATCGTTGTTTGTTTGTTTTGTTTTGTTTGGTTTGGTTTGTTTGTTTGGTTTGGTTTGGTTTGGTTTGGTTTGGTTTGTTTGTTTGTTTGTTTGTACGTTTGTTTTCTAAGTCATTTGTTTGAGACTGATGGTGGTGTTTGTGTTGAACTCTTAAGATTCTTTCGGACTGTTTTTTCATTTGGTCTCGGATCCCGGATGATTCTCGGATCCCGGGGACGAGTATCATGAAACAGATGGAACCCATGGCTTTTGGCCGGCCTGGGTTCAGCCCCAAACGCTTCAGTTGCCGCAGGTATGGGCCTGTGGTGGGCCCTGATTGGTCCAAGACTTCGTGGGATCCTCGAGTGGGCAGAGCCACAGCCGTGGGCGCTCGTGGTCCTTTGCTTTGCGGTGGCTCCGAACCAAAGACCGGTGAGACTCGGAGACTTCGCAGGGAGAGGACCAACGGTTGATCCGGTTCATGGTCCAGATTCCCCATCATGAATCAATTGCTTAAAACATACGCTCAGCAAAAATAATCCCAAGAAACCTAAACAAATCAGACCAAGTCCCTGAATGCCCTTCTGCATGGCTTCCTGGAAGAACAAACAAAAACACAGCTGGCTTCAAAAGGACATGCACAAAAAGAATTCAGGCATGCACCATCCACATCCGAGAAACGAAAAAAACAACACCTCAGGGGTGCTGTCCCCCTTCACTGCTTCACTCTGCTAGGTCGGCCTGCCCATTTTCACCAAGCCCTTGGTCCTTCGACCCCGAAAGCGGCCGTGAAGCCGCCCGAAGTCGGCTGCGAACGTTCTGGACACGTCGTCATGGCTGCGGGCGGGCGGTTTCGCCCCCAGCCCACTACAACCCTCTGCAGACAGGAGACCCCTTGAATTGTCCAGGATGGTGCATCAAGGCCACTGATCCACTAGGACGAAGATGGAACTGATGGCGAGAACGACACCGGCGAGGGTCGTGAGGGTCCACCTACGGCGGGAGGACAACTTTGCAGATCCTTGCGTGCGAGACACGCGCGACCTGCAAGCAGCGAGGCTCCGCTTCGAAGCGCAGCGCGACCTGCGGCTGGCCATTTGGCGATGGGGACATGGCCGCTTTGGCAGGAACTCGCCATTGGGCGCATGCGGAGCAGTGGATCCCAATCTGACAGGTGGCAAAATGGCTGGCCAATACTGGTGTGTTGCGGGGACAGGTGACACAAGGGTTGCAGGTCGGGTCCCATCCACTTCCAATTCTCCGGGTCCCCGACCTCAAGGGGTGTCCAATGAAGATCCCTAAGTACAGGGCTGGGGCGAAACCAGCCAGGTGACGCCGAACTGAAGGTGCTGGTACGTTTACTTTTCCCTGAGAAGGTTCTGTTTGGTGCGCCATTGCTATGCCATGCTTGCCGATCGATGTGGCGCCTGGCGCCTGGCGCCAATGGTTTTGGGGATTGGATGAACCTGGCCTTTTGCACTCGGTGGATCCCAGACCTCCTGCCTTTATAGAAACACCTCCCAGACACTCCATGTATGCAATATATGCCTACATTGACCCCCTGGCACCACCCCAACTGATCGCCATATATGGCATACATGGAGCATTTGGGCCTTATAGTCAATCACTGCTCCCCCGGGATCTCGCGTCATGTCCGACCCACACCCGGATGAACGGGCCAGGAACAAGCCAGCGAACGATCCCATGGACCCAACAACCCTGCCAAGGCGGGGGCGCGGGGCCTGCGGAGGGGATGGGGATGCGGGTCGGGGAGGCGGCGTTTGGGCGCTTGGATGAGCCGAGGAGTGGGTAGGGCCAGGTTTCTTGGGGGTGAGGTTTGGAGTGGGCCACAGAGAAGTTGTGATCAACAGGGGCATCTTCAATTGCTTGAAAGGTCCGGCTGGGGGCAGAGTATGGGAGAACCATCATTATCCATCATTTTTTACAACACGTTAGCCGCATGAAGAGAGGAAGAGAACCACTCAGTGACCAAGGATGTACGATTAGTAGGATTAGTAGGATGATTCGGAATCAAGGCCCACCAGTCACAGGGAAACGGCAGCCCCCCATCCATTGGTTCCTTCCTCGCAGAGAAAAACCGGCGCTGTCGGCGCCCTTCAGTCGGTGCTCAGGCTTGGGCGCAGACGTCCCTCCACATGGCCTCCTTAGCCCGGTCATACCCCTGAGCTGCGGTTCAAAAGACCGCAGCCCGCACTGGTGGGGAAGCCCAGGGGTTGTATTGTTTCTTGCTGTTTGTTTGTTTTTTTCCGATCTCAAGCAACCAGTTTTTAACTTCACTGAGGGTGAAGGTGTTTGGAATGTGCAGACATGACACTGAGCAGCTTGTTGTCTCAGACAATTCGATTGATTTGGACGGTTGTTTCATAGTATGCTTGACCTTTTGATAATTATGCCTTTACACTTTGTTGATCTTTGTTGATATGTTCTCCCTTTACCAAGCAAGAGAGCTGACCCTAGTTTCAGCAATGCATGCAAGCCTCAATGCAGTTGCTTTGTTTCGTCTTTCCAAAATTGCATGTTCTTTGTCTTGGGTTATTAACATTTATTAACCCCAGTAACAATATAGAGAAAATATCGATTACTATAATGTTCTTTGATCCTGGACCCTGCTTTTGAACAAGCTGAACTGGATAGCTGCGGGGACCTGCTGTCTCAATCTCACCATCAAAAGACGATCGTCGCGGCCCGCATGCGACACAACGATCATCGCGGCCACACCCGAGGTCTTTTCCGCTCCCTTTTTTCCCGAACGTCGCTCGCAGCTTCCTGCGCTTTTAAAGTGCCCGGAGTCTGCGAACGCTTCTGGGGTGGTCCAACATCGAAAACATGCGGAGAAACGGATGAGCGTGCGGAGGGTCGGAACTTCGGATCGGCTTTGGGATTGGAATGCGAATGATGAAAGCAAGTTGCCCAAGTTCATGCTAGCAAAAGGTCCGTGGGTGCAGGGGTAGGACCATGACAAAATATGGCACATCCCTAGAACCCCCGTGTCGCAAAAAAGGGAACAATTGTTTGTTGATGAACAAACATAACAAATAAGCAAACAAATAACATATCCTAAATACAATAGAACAAAGCAGTCATAGCGAAAACTGGAGGACCGGGAAAGGCATGTTGAAGTCAATCACTGCCATTTTTTCCACATCAGACTTTCTTTTGCAGATGTTTCTTGACTCTGTTGAGTCGAGCTTTGAAACCCAAACCATAGCGCTGGAGGGGTCTTTGTGCGCATGGATCCCAAATCATGATGTTAAACTCTGATGAGTAAGCTGAACAAGATGTGGTTTCTCGGGCAAGAATTTGTCCATCCAAGTCCTCCAAGTGAAAATTACTTTCCAAGGTCTGTCAAAACTTGACAATGCAGATGAACAAAGAAAAAACCAAGCAGTAACTGCTGTTCTTCTGGGTCGTCAGGCATTGAGCGGGCAACCAACTCATTGACAGGGACTTCCGTTAGATCCAAACCATAGGCCAGTGTCTCAGAACTACTCTTGAAAGATGTTGCCAAGTTCATGGGGGTAAGACTCGCGAAAGAGCCCATGCAACAGAGATCATGGACATGTGGAGTGGTATGAAATTTCTCGAATTTCCGGCAGAATTCGGCGAATGTCCGCTACCTCAAAGTTGCAATTCCACACTTATTGTGTCCGGATGAAGCAATTAAGCTCAAACTCCGAAGCTGGGATCAAAGCCTTAAATGTTTGAGGCAATTCAATGAGCTTGCTACGCCTCAAGTAGAACATGCACTCTTGTATTTCAACCTCAATCACTTGCTTTGATGCAGCGGAGCAGGAATCCAAAAAAGACGCCATGCCACACGCAGAAATTTGATCGGTCGATATGCTTCGACAATCGCCCAATCCAAGAAGATAACTAAGATCAGGTACAGCAAACAGAGTGTCAAATACTCCCCTGCTTGCATGCACAGGGGAGGTGGCACCTGGGATCCCAGCACACACGCTTCCAAGCCGCTTATGAGCCCCAAGCGGCTATATGACATGATGTGCTTCGAAAGTATGGACAACCACCCCAAACATTCCAATGTCCGAAAAAATAACCTGCACCCAAAAAAGAAGCACAGTAGAACAACCTGTTTTTCCACTTGTTCCTTTTGTTCGTGGTACTTTCGAAGCACTAGGTCTGTATACACCTTTGATTACCTTTTCGTCAAGTATGCATGCTTATCCGATGTAAAAGTTAATTACCTGACGCCTGACGTACCATTACCTGACGTGAAGAAAACAGACATCTTTCCCATCAAATGGTGACCCGCTGCAACCTATCAAAGCCTTATAACAGCTTTTGGCGTCGCATCACCGATTCAATCCGATCCAATCCAATCCAATCAGACTTTGGGTATGCACACATTTCAGAGGACGATTCCGTTGCATTTTGGCTCCAGGAGAAAGCTGGGAGACGGTCCATGCGGTTTGGAAAGCTGAGAGAATCGACACACGGGATCCACCGGTATACCACCAGTTAGAACATGGTGTCCCGTGGAGCTTGAAGGCGATGGGTCGTTTTGATGTGTAACATGATGTGTTGCCTTTGTAGCATTGATCACATAGATCAAGTGCCGGGAAGATGGGTAGGTTGCCTTTTCAACATGTTTTTACCTTTCGACAACCTGGAGAAGAAATACAGCATGGACATCCCAATTCAAACCACTTTTGCTGATCAATCATTCTACATACTTAAGTTACTGCAACGAATAACTCCAAGCAACTCTCTACTCTTTTCCTCACCAAGTCCCAGCCGACCTTTTCGATCCTCCTCTTTGTTTGGGTGCTAACAACTGCCCAAAACCACTTTTTGCTCATATTCTCTCTGAAACATGAAGCCGCACCGAGACCGACCAGAAACCTGAAAAAGGTCGACCGCGCCGTGGTTCAAACCACGAAATCCATCCATCCAAATATACCCCCAACAAGGGCGAAACCAAAAACCCCACCGATGAAGAGCCGATGCTTTGCCGCGCGCGACACATGGCGACCTGATGGGCGCGGCGCCCGGTGCGGAGATGGAGGGTGAAGATGTGCGAAGGTGTAGGGGCTCCAAGTATCACAGGTATATATCAGGTATATAGACCATCAGGTGCTAGGTATATATCTCCATCCAAGATAGCCTTAGGTATATATCTCCTCAGGTTCGGTCACTCCCTAGGGCTCCTACCGAACCGTTTCGAAGGTGGGATGGGACTGGGGTGGGTGCCAGGAGGATCCAGTCATACCGAACTTGAGGAGGTACGACTGGAGCCCAGGGACTGGAATTTGCTGGCACCCTCCCCAGTCCCACCTTGTAAGAAGGTAGAGCCCAGAGCTCCTTCCTTCGTACCCTCCTCAGGTTCGGTATGGACCCTGCGGTCGCACACTTCTCAGCCAACCCCCGAGTCCCTGTCCTTCGGAGAGTGGGGATCAAAGCTGGATGACACCACCCACGGTCCGATGTAACCACGAAAAGCAAGCTCCAGCAGTCACAAGACGGGGTGCTCAGAACATCCACAGCGCCTTTTTTGGGACTAAACACAACCCTGTCGAACGTGACTCCTGGCTGTTTCTTGTTGTGAGGAAAATAGGTGGCATCCCCACCGATCGGACAAACTATATTCGAAGGTTTCGATGTGGATTCCTAGGAATCAAGGTAGGAGTGAGCTATTATAGGATATTTGGTCCGACCAAACATCTATGGCTGATTGGACATCCCTACAGAAACCTGACCCAGACACTCCATGGGGCTGGAATAAATATGCCTACATACATTACACCCTAGCCTTCAAAGACCATTCTAGGGTAAAAGCAGATGGCGTTGAGGTATCACTCTTGCAGGGTTTGCACGCGATTTGCTTAATGGGTCTTGGACATGCACTGACACGCACTCCCACTCCGCTGCGTCCAAACGCACACCCCCTGGACCCTCCAATTTTAGCCGTTCACACCTACAGTACATGGCCTGCGAGGCAAATGTTTGTGCGTGAGCGTGTGGTTAAAGTTTGCAGGAAAACCATAGTGAGCCATAGTGTATATATATATAGATGGCATGAGAGACTCTGGGCAAAGCACATGTCACTGGCCCCCCTTTGTGCAATTTGTGTGCATTCAAAGTGTGATATATTCCATCCAATTTCTAGGAAGAACGCAAAAGTGGAAAGATCACCAAAGCCACAGCATTGCATAGCTTCTTTGTCGGCATGCGGCCAGCTTCCAGAAGATACCCTTAAAGAGCAGCCAAACTCAACGTAATAGATGGCACATCCATAGCACAAACCATGTCCTTTTCTACATCTGATTGACTCGGCCCCTTCTGGGGATTGACGAGTCCAATGCTTTGTATGGTAGTATGTTTTCCGTTTGATATTGATATTAACTAATTACTGTAAAAGAAAGGTTGGAAGCAAAACACCATTGTTTTGGCCATACCGGTCACTTGATGTGTACCATCAATACTTACTCAACCTACCTGGTGCACCATGTCAATGATTGGCCCCACAAACAGTTCTCCTTTCACTGGTACCTCCCACGCGTGGACCTACCCTAAAATCCCACCATCATGTTGAATCCCAGATTTTGGAGCGGTCCAGGATGGTCCAGGTACCTCCTACTGTACCTCCATTTCGATCAACATAGGGTGAGTACGCGCTTCTTTTTTCTTTCGTGGTCGATCTGATAGGTCTCGTGATATGGAGCCTGTCAAGTCCACCAGAATATGACCCACAGCCAGCCTTTCGATCGGTCGAACCCCCGAAACGGACGCTGCCGTGGGCGAACGGAAAGGCCTCATTGACATCAATGACCCCGCCAAGCGGCGGCGTTTGGTCGGGAATCCCATGTCTGGTCGTGTGTTGGAATGAGGAAGGTCTGACTGGACAGGGAAGGACCCACCATTCTTGCGGAGTGCGAAGGAAGTGTAATTTTCTGGCATGTATTGAACCATTATTTTGGCATTCTTTCTGACACTCTTTCTGGCATATCTTTTGACATTCTTTCATCCAACATTCTATTTGGCATATCTTCTGCATATCTTCTGACATTCTTTCTGGCATCTCTTCTCGCATGCTTTCTGGCATCTCTTCTGACACTCATTCTGGTATATATGTTCTGACATTCTTCCTGACAGTCTATCTGGCATATGTGGCATATCGCCAAAGCTCGCGGTTGAGATCCGGCGGGGAACACTGCCGTCCGGAGACTGCGGTTGAGGTCCGGCGGGGAACAGCGCCGTCCGGAGGGGAACACTGCTATCCGACACTTGTGGTTGAAGTCCGGCGGAGAACACTGCCATCCGACATTCGCGGTTGAGGAGGAGAAGGAGGAGGAGGCTGAGGAGGAGGAGGAGAGGAGAGGAGAGGAGAGGAGAGGAGAGGAGAGGAGAGGAGA